GATGTGCTGTTCTAATCGTTTTTGGATAATCTTCAGTAGAATCTTGCTTGCATGTGAAATCAATGACACTGTTCTGTAGTTTCCACACTCAGGCACAAATGTAGACTTGTACACCAATGTTCCCAGTAGCGTTGTTCACCATTGCAAGAACATAATAACAGCCCAGATGCCCAACCACAATTGAATGAATTGAGAAATTATGGTACATTCACACAAAGGAATACTGCACAGAATGAAAGAATAATGATTTTGTAAATTATTCCCTAAATTGGGAGGAACTGGAGACCATTATGCTATATGAACTCAGTCCCATAAGGACAAGTACTTTATAAAACCATTGCTGTAGAATGAGTATGAGAATCCAAGGGGGGAGAGGGAGAGTGGAAGCAGAGGGGTGAGGATGTGTGGGGGAAGAGATTAATCAGGCACAATTTTTTGGGGGGGTGAGGGAAATGGGAAGGATCTGGTGTGAAAAACAATGTATTTTAATTTTGTAAATAAACTAGTATTAAAAATAATGAAAAATAGTGTGTATATGAATGAATGATTATATGAAATGAAATTGTTAGATTCAATGAAAGATTGTTTGAAACACAATGTATATGAATGAAACATACTGTATAGGTATTATTATATGAAAAGCAATAAAAAGTATTTTTTTAAAAGACAGTCTTGGAGAACTATCTTAGTACCTGGATCTGAGAATAAAGTATATTGATAAAGCAATTCTGTCTCAATGATGTATCTGGCCTTTCAACTGAAAAAAGGACCCCTTGTTTGTCCAGTAACAGAGAAGAAACTCTGATCCAAATACAAGATATTGTAACAATTCAATATTTATTAACTGCACACAGACACGCATCTCTGTCAAGAAATGGAAACAATTATTAAAAATTGGAAAAATGAGTTATACACATGTTCATAAAATAAAATTTCCATTTTCCATGGCACTCCTAAGTTTTGACTCAGTAAGTACATAACATTAAAAAGCACCCAAATGAAAACCCACAACATATATTCAATTACAACAGTACCTTAAAATAGCTGTACATCAGTCATTAAAACAATACTATGCAGCTTTCTGTGAAGACTTTAAATGGCACAATTTAAAGTGAGTAATAACCATTAACAGTAAAACTAATTTACATTGTGCTTGTGGACTTTGTTTTCACTAAGCTGTTTCATAAGAGTAGAAATGGGGAAAGAGACAAAAAACCACTTCACTGAAAATTACATTTAAGAGTCATTCACACTGATGAAGGATGTCAGAAGCAGATTAGTTTTTTAAAGAAAAGAATCTCTGCAGCAGAAAGGAGTTGTTTTTCCAAGGCAGTGGTTCTTATTATCTGAGCCATGTGAGTTAATCTGATAATTGCTAGAAAGTTCTTGGTGGGAATTCACTGTAGTGATGTCTAGAAAGCACTTTTAACACATAGTGAAAATATGGGAAGCGTCAATAGCTGTGTCTTGGTCTAGATAAAGGAAACTCTGGGAATACAGGGAGTGGTACTGCGAACCTAAGATAGTGCCTCTCTGGTGAAATTAAAAATACAGGGGAACAGGTGAGCATAAAAATTTTCCTCTTCATATTACTCTAGGATATTTTTGGAGATGAAAGGCAGCCCTGAGAAAGGATAAGAAAGTGCAGGCTGTGAGCGTCAACCCCTAATTCAGGTTTAAGTAGGTGGGCAGGTGCATTCACCTAGGCCAAGCCACAGCCACGATGGAGTGGTACAGTTACAATAATTGACACGATGTTTTAATTTTTGATACACCACTTTCACTTTCTCTAAAGGTCATATAGTATGTTATAAAGGCATGTTGAAGGGCATATTCCAGGTGACAAAACAACTCAGAAAAGGAGCCAGGTCTAGATGCTGTGGTCCATCAAGCCTGACAAGTTGCCTCTGCTGTTCTTTCCCCCTCATACCAATTTCTCCAGGGAAACAAAACGAAATAAATAGCAAAGAAAACAGCAATGAAAACCTTTAAGTAGTAAATTCAAGAAGATGAGGCATCAATTTAAAATATGGTCCAGAAGGAGAAAGAGTGCTTCTTCATTCTGCAGAGCACAGGCCATTCTATGAAATTTCAGAAGTCTATAAAAATCAACCACTTCAGCTGAAGGAAAAACCTGAAAATGGGCAATTGTGGTCATTGCAGAAAAGGGTGACTATAACTAACTGATTCATATATGTTAAAAAATGTTGAAATGGCAAACATTTTGTTATATATACTTTTTACCACAATAAAAAAATACAACTAGGAAAAAATCAACTAATTCAAGTTTTACTATAATCACCCAGAAACAAATGAGCCTCTAGGGCTGAGCTAGCTGATTGTCAGGGAAGCGGATGAGGTCATACTTTGATTCTCACACACTGCTCTCTGAGCCTATGTTCTAGAACTACATGAGAAGCTGGGCCACTTTACAGTCAATAACCAAGTCATAGTCTCAAGGCAGAAGGGACTACCTGCCTCATGTTGAGCCCAGCTCTGGAGCAGATGGGGTTGTGGGAAGTCTCAGGACTTCCATCTATAAATTCGGTGCTGGTTCTCCTGGACTCAGTCCATAACCATGGCACATGTTGGTCCCTAGTTGGGTGATACGAGGAATAGAATGAGCATCTGTTCAAGATTATAAGGACTGGATGAATGTCAGATACATTTCGATAACTAGGAAGATCGCATAAAATTTTTTAAAACAATAGATTGAATACTCCCAAGATGTAGGTAAATTTCTTTTCTCGTTTTCATACGTTAGAGAACTGAAGGATTCTATAGGCTTCCATAACATACATACTTGAGTTCTAGATATTCATCAATACCATACTTTGATCCCTCACGTCCAAGGCCAGATTGCTTCACACCCCCAAAAGGGCACTCCACGGAGGAAATCAATCCTTCATTAACTCCAACCATACCAACCTCCAGCTGCTCTGCTACTCGCCAGATCTGGGCTGGATCTTGAGAATAGAAATAACCTGTTGGAGGGATAAAGGAACATTTACCTTATGAAGAATGTCCATTAAAGACATATCAACCAATACATATGCCCAAAAAGCACACAAAAAGATGGTTCCCATATTATTAGAGTATGTGAATCAAAGCTACACAGGGATGACTTTTCTAGCCATCTGAATCTGATTTGACCATTTGGATGGCTGGGAATATGAAGATAGGGGTGTTAGCCCTTTCACAAGGGGATTGGTTATCTCATCATTCCACAGGGAATTGGCTAGTTCAACAATCTACAAGGGGACTGGCTAGTCTTGTCAAGAAATTGAACAGCTAAAGCCACAGAATATACCAAGGATTGCTAAGAGAGAAAAAAAAACAACCAAACAAACATGTCCATCCTAGAGTGGGTAAAATCATGCTGCTCCTTAGAGGCAAGGATTTTAAAGCTCCATCTCATATACTATGGGCATGTTGCCAAGAAGGACCATCATTCTTGGAAGGGTATAGGGACAGCACAGTAGAGGAAGACCCTGAATGAGATGGTTTGACTCAGTGGCTGGGCTTATGGGGTTAGGTGTGTCAGAAACAATGAGACTGGCTCAAGATAGAGCAGGCTTCAGAGCTGTTGTACATAGGAATTACAAGTCACTTGATAGCACAAAACAATAACAACAACAGCTGAAGAATTAGGCCTTCCCCACCAACCAAGAAGAAAAAAAATCACTTCCAGGAAAAGAGGAAGCAAGAGGACCTACAGGACCAACAGCCATACCGCAGAGAACTAGAGACCTGAGACGAACGGAGCACCAGAGACCTGACATGAGACAGAGTACTAGATATCTGATGTGAGATGTGCCTTGGAACTGCTTCACTATTGAAACCAGAGCTAAGAGCCTTTGTCCAAGTTTGTTGGAGGACTGTGGGTGGCGAGAGCCAATAATGGCAGGACTGAGAACTTTGTAACACTGGCCTTAAGGGCAAGGCTCAAGGCTAAGGTGCCTGCAAGCACCTTTCAGAATCTGTCCTGACTGTATTCTGCTATTAACCTGGACTGTAATCTTTAACTTCCCCAATACTGTTCTGTGTGGTCTGTGAGATATGCATCACATTTTGGACCCAGTATAGTAAAATTGGTGTTGAGAGGAATAGAAAGAGGTGTGGGATCCTGGGGGACATGTCTGATCACATGAAAATTGGCTTTGTGTTAATGAAGCTGTTGACTAATACAGTTCCCCTTTGTGAAATTGGTAAAGGTCATATATGGCCGTCCTTATGTGGCCTTTGATCTTTTTATAGACTCCTTATTGATTTCACTTTCTTTACCACTCCTCAAAAAATACCACTGAAAAAAATTCCAAGGGAATATTTAAAAGGCCAATTCTAGCACTCATTTGAGGAAGTTATTACCACTGTTATTGAAGGAGGAAAACACTTACCTGCTAAACCAACATCAGCTGCATTAGCGATTGCTATAGCCTCCTCCTCCGTGTTGAACCTGCCAAAGGTAAGAAAGATCATAAACAACACCTGTAGGGGGAACGGTAAAGAAAACTTGCTTTTTTTTCATCCTGATTAATCTCCTAAATTATGGCAAGGACAGAATCACAGATTTGGACATGGTAAAGATCAAAAATAGCACCATTTACTATGTAGTTTGGCCCTTCCTCAAAAAGCTGAACATAGAAATTCCATATGACCCAGCTATTCCACTACTTGGAATATGCCCTGAGAAAATGAGAACTGAGGCACAGAGACTTGTACACCAATGTTCATAATAGTGTTATTCACCATCGCAAGAACATAGAAACAGCCCAAATGTCCAATCACAAACAAATAGATTGAGAAATTATGGTACATCCACACAATGGAATACTATGCAGCATGCACGAGCAATGATTTTGTAAATTATTACCTAACTTGGGAAGGACTGGGAAGCATTATGCTCAGTGAACTAAGTCCCACAAGGATAAATATTGTATAAAACTATTATTGTATAAGGATCCAAGAGGGGTGGGAAAGGTTGGAAGCAGAGGGATGAGGATGTGCAGGGGGTGGGGAGTATTAATCATGAGATTGTACAATTTGATGGGTGGGGGGTGAGGGAAATGGAAAGAATTTTTTCTTGAAAACAATGTATTCGAATTTTGTAAATAAACTATTAGGGGTGAAAAAAACAAAAAAAACCCACAAAAAACAAACAGCTTAGTGATCATTGCTAGACCACCAAGTCCTAATGGCATCATATCTTTTGTCTTGTTGTTACTGTTAGGTGTCAACCCAAATAATCTCATAAGGTTTTCTTGATGACAGTTTTTATTGGAGCAAATTGCCAGATCTTTCTCTCACAGAGTCACTGGGTAGGCTCGAACCACCAACTTTCTTAAAATAGTAGTGGTACAGCACTGTTCTGTTATTTCTCTGAATTGAGGTAACTTTGGATTGCTGTTAATACTGAATGATGTACCACTGGTGCTTTAAATGCCATAAATGGTTACACATGGTTGACAATGTTTGGTAGAGTTCACATATTAAGACAGGCTTGGAAGCAGGAAGAGCATCCACTTCCTAAACATGCCTGTGGAAACTCTATGAACTTAGAGAAACGACAATAGTTATAGAACAAAGTTAAGGTCTTTTGTTTATAGGGTCATACTAGATGGCACTTGATAACAACAACAACATAAAACACCAAAGTCCTCGTCTTCACTTTGGAGTTGCTTAAGTGGCTGGACTCTGTAAGATGGTGCTCTTGTTTTGTTAAGGATCTGGGTGAATTATTTGGTTGTTTTTATTTAAGCATCTTGTTTACAGTCAACAAGACCTCCTGGAGGACATTTGTATTTAAGGCCAAGCATTTGTCTCCATTTTGGAGACTGGGTAAAGCGGCTGGACTCTGTAAGATGGGCTCTCTTGTTTTGGTTGAGGGTCAGTGTGGAATGGTTGTTGTTGTTTGTTTGTTTGTTTTTTTTAATTTAAGCCTCTTCTTTCGAGTCAACATGATCTCCTGGAGGGCCCTTGTATTTAAAAATTGGACCTGAGGGATTATATTTTAATCCCTTGTAACTACATTTTGGAGGAGCATTCTTCTAAATCGTATAACACTCTTCTGTCAATTTGCTGTGCTGAGATAATCTGGGTATGCTGTGCCACTAAATCTTGTGCCACTGGGGGTCTCAATGCCATAGTGGCTGCCCATAGTGGACAGTGTTTGGTGGAGCTCCCAGTTTAAGACAGTTTTGGAAGCAAGAGTGGCATCCACTTCCTAAACCACATGACTCTGTAAATTCTATGAACTTGGAGAAACCATAATTACAGAAAGGCCTCAGGTCATTTGTTCATAGAGTCACTATGAGTCATGTGCAACACACTGCTTAACCTTTTGTGACACTAAACTTATTTTCCTTCTAATAGAACAAGAGGAAAACAGGACAAAGAGTTGAGAACTGTGACATATTTAGAGTATTACATAAAATCTTAAGGCAGCATTGCCACTCTTTCTGCTGAGATTACATGAAGACCATGTTGTTGGTATGAACTGTTAAGCTGGATTCTCCAGCAGGTTTTCAGAGGCTGTAAATGGCATTTGAATGGACCTCTCACCATTCTTCTGTATAGCAGCTGGTGGAACCAAACCATGTACTTTTCGGTTGCCAGCATAACTCCTTACCACTAGGTCACCAAAATTCCCAATGGTTTGGTTAAGAATCATTCAAAATACTTCAAAAGCAACCATGTAGTATTAGAAAGGAGTTATTTTAAAGGAAATTGGAACCCAGGTTCTAATGCCAGCTTCTCTACACACTACTCATTTATAGGGTGTTTGTTCATTAGAGTTTATTAGTCCTCTCTGAAATAAAAGTGTGCACCAAAGCCCTACGTGGTCTCTTCAAATTTTTTTATTTTATTCCTAGACTAAGAGACATGGGAATATTTTTCAGTTACCCCAGAATTGTAACTTGGGCCAAAACTTCTGACAATTCCACTTTCTCAAGTCAGACCTACTGGCAGTTGGTGCCAGTTCAGCTCCCCAGGACTTACATAGTTAGGTGGTGTGGAGCTGGCTTCCTTATGCCTTCCTCATTGTAAATGAAAGACTGGGAGAGACTTCTTCCCTCACATTCAAGCCAAAGAAGGGAGACCTAAGAGAATCACTTTGTGAAGTTCAGAGGTTGTTCTTACTGTGATGATTAATGCTGTGTGTGTCAACTTGGCTATACCATGATTCTCAGTGGTTTGGCAGGCTCCTCCACTTTGTGATATGATGTAAGCAGTCAATAAGTCAGAAGAAGAATTTTTTGGGGGGAATGCAGCCTACATACAATACATATGGAGATTATGGCAAAGCCCATGCTCTCTCAATCTTGCATTTGTCTCATTCTCTGACCTCTGATTCTTGGGATGTCAGAAGCCTTCAATCAGCTGCCTGATTTTCAGGTTTTGGATTCACCAGCTCCCAAAACTCCATGAACCAGCAAGCAGCCTGTCCCCTGACCTATAGGTTTTGTGTTCATCAGTCCCTGGAAGTATGTGAGACAGGAGGAGCCCCCTGTCTGCTGTCTGATCCACAGATTTGGCACTTGTCAGCATCCACAATTGTGTGAGCTATGGCATTGTTATGAATCTCTATGCACTTATCTATTCACTTCACTGATTTTGTTCCTTCAGAGAAGCCAAATACTTGCTTGAAAGAATTCTTAGAAGATATACTGCATTAGGAGCAAAAATAAGTTCAGTAGAAAGGAAGAATAAATTTAAAAATCTGGCAAATTTGTATAGTCTAATGAAGAGATAAAAAAGTTAGAAATGGCACAGTCTAGCTGCTCCATAGGAGAAAGATAGGCATTCTCCTCTTACAGGAGGGTCAGCTATGAATTGATTTTGACTCCATAGTACATAACAACAACAACAACAACTACTACTACTACTTACTCCTACTCTTACTCTACTACTACTACTACTCCTACTCCTCCTACTCTACTACTTACTACTACTACTACTACTACTTACTACTTACTACTACTACTACTATACTTATTTCTCCTTCCTTATTTCCTCATTCCAATGCCTCAAAATAGCACAATGAACTGAAATGAATTCCTCTCTAGGTTTCATTTTCCTTTTCTATTCTTGCTACAGACTGAAGGATCTTACTTGATAACTGGTGCCAGAGGGCCAAAAGTCTCCTCATGAGAGCAAAGCATCTCTGGGGTGACGTTGCTGAGCAAGGTAGGCTCAAAGAAATTTTTCCCAAGTTGATGTCGCTTTCCGCCTGTCTCAATGGTGGCCCCTTTGGAAACTGCATCACTAACATGTTTCTCCACCTGTGTGAAGACAAAAAGAAGAGCCTTTGTGAAAGGTGATGGAGAACAGTTTCCAAACTGTGAAATCTCCTAGGTTGTTTAAACTGTAGAAAATTGTAACTAGTTTTTTCCTTTCTTTAACAAAGAAAACAAATGAAAAAAGACGTAAGCAAAGTACCCTAGTTCCTTTGGGACAAGAGGAGTGCACAACGGCTTCTTCATTCTGTCTTTGATGTTTGAACTTACTATTTGTTGAACATGCTGAATTCTTTCTAGACCTGCAGCTCAGGTGTCTTTCTGGGTCAGTTATGCTATTTATATATAAAAATATATTTAAAAAAATAATTAATCTTCAGATTTCAATAAAGGTTTACAAATTATTTTGGTTTTTCATATAATCATTCATAATAGATATTTATTTTATAACAATTACTGTTGATTAATGTAATTAATTACAATGCTTAATCAACTTTTTTAAAAAAAAATTTGTGTGTGTGTGTGTACTGTCAAATCGGATTTGACCTGTACAGAAGGATATTGTCCCTCCTTCTCCAGCAGAGCATCTGGTGGATTCGAACTGCTCACCTCTGGGATTGTAGTGCAGCTTCTTGTCACTAGGCAACAAGAGCTCACCTCAACTCTTCTTTTTACCTACTTTATTTATTATTAGGGAAATCTTGTCAAGGACTTCTCAAAAGTTCTAAAGAGCATGGATCTGATTAAAGCGACAGTATGTTACCCATGGTGAACCGTGTTTGGTGGACCTCCCCAAGTAAAACAAACTTGGAAGCAGGAGTGGCATCCACTTCCAAAATAGTTTGCCTCTGGAAACTCTATTAACTTGGAGAAATGATGAAAGTTATACAAGTGTTCAGGTCTTTTGTTCATAGGATTGCTATGCGTCATCTGTGACTTTACAGCACTTAACAACATGTTTAATTGATTTCTGTGCAGTTGTAAGTTGGACAATGAATCAATGCCTTTGAACTCTGGTACTGGAGAAGAGTATTGGATATACCATGGATTTCCAAAAGAACAAACAAATCTATCTTAAAGGAAATGCAACCAGAGTGCTTCTTCGAGGCAAGGATGGTAAAACTTCATCTCACTTGAGCATATTTTCAGGAGAACCTTAGACACATCTCCAAGGTCCTTAAAGATACCATGTTGGGAAAGATTGAGGGTCATCAAAGAGAAGGAGACCCTCAACAAGATGGACATAGTGATTACCACAGTGAGCTTGAGCATCACAGAGATAATGAAGATGGTGCACGGTAGGGCAAGTTTCAGATCTGTTGTTCATAGAGTCACTGTGAGTCATATTCAACTTGATGGCACCTAACAACAATAACAACAAAAATTAATTCCTTCCTTTAACTCAATTTATTTATTAATTTTTTTCTCCCCTCTCCTTCTCTTCTCATCTATGTCAATGCTCTAAGATTGATTCTATCTTTATGCAAATCTTATTTCTTAGAATCATATTTCTTTCTCTTTTTTTTATGATATTTCCAATATTTTATTTTTGGTATATTGACTTTCCCCCCATTCATTCTTTGTTGCACTTTTCTCCCTGCCAAACCTCCCTAGAGTTTGCTTTTTTCTTTGAAAAGTAAAAGAATTCTTTCATTGTTATACAATCCCTCCCTCCAAGTCCACTCTACTATGCAGCCTTTGTTTTGAAAAGTAAAGAAAAATTCTTTCATTGTTATACAAACCCTCCCCCCAAGTCCATTCCACTATGCAGCCTTCG